TCCATGAGCATGGATGGTGAATCCAATCAAGAAGAAATCCTCGACAACTTCAACCTCTTTCTAGTTATCATGATGTTACCTATGGGTCCAGTTGTGAGGATTTTTTCCCTTTACATTGAGTTGTCATCCACACTGAAGGCTGCAATCCTTGATCCTCATCAGCAAGTGCTTCAAGTCCGCTCACTTTCAGCAAGCAGTGTTGTGTCATCTGCATATTGAAAGCTGTTCATCAGCCTTCCTCCACATATAAAGCCCCATTGTTCTTCCTATAGTCTAGCTTCTCTGGTTATTTGCTGAGCATATGGATAGAACAGGATGATAAGGTGATACAACGGTGACACACATTTTTCCTGACTTTTTCCAGGCAGTAGTCCCTTGTTCTGTTTGAATGACTGCTTCTTGGTCCAAGTACAGGTTCTTCATGAGCACAATGAAGTATTCTGGAATCCCATCCTTCTCAAGGTTATCATTAGAGTTTTTATGATCCACACAGTCTAATGCCTTTGCATCATCAATAAAACACAAGTAAACATCTTCCTGGTATTCTCTGCTTTCAGCCAAGATCTATCTGACATCAGCAATGATCTTCCTTGTTCCATGTTTCCCGAATCTGGCCTGAAACTGTGGCAGCTCCCTGTCAATGAATCAAGGATTTGAAATGAAATTATATGTAATTTTGACCTGTGTCCTTTACTGAAGGGCAATTTAGACTGTGTATCAGAAATCCTCTTAAACAACTTATTTTTTGCCCTTGCAAACCTCTTTCTAGGAATTTAGCTTCAAGAAATGGAAGGTATGATTTTCTACTTTTACAAATTTATACAAGGAAGAAACATTTCATTACTTTGTATTTGCTTTATATATACCTATGTAGAGCCTAGGATATGCAAGTGATTTATACACATAAACTTAATTTCTCTTCAAATCAACAAAATAGTGCTAAAACAAAAATATCATTTTAAGCAAATAAAAGAAATGGATTGAAGTTTACTTAATACACTAAAACCCAAACAAAACTTACTGCCAATGAGTAGATTCTGACTCTTAATGGCCTAAAGCAGTGTTTCTCAACCTTCCTAATGCCGTAACTTTTTAATACAGTTCCTCATGTTGTGGTGACCCCCCCAACCATAAAATGATATTCATTGCTATTTCACAACTGTCATTTTGCTACTGTTATGAATTGGGAGACCTCTGTGAAAGGGTTGCTCAACCCCCAAAGGGGTTGCGACCCACAGGTTGAGAACCACTGGCCTAGAGGAAAGAAAAGAACTGCTTCATAAGGTTTCTGAAGCTATAAAACCTTATGAACAAAGTCTTCCTCATCTTTCTCCTTCAGAGCACCTGATCAGTTCAATCTACTGCCCTTTCTGTGAGCAGCGCAAGGGTCACTTTCAGTCACTGTACCACAGGGTCCTCTTTTGTTGAATATACAATTTGCAAATTGGGGTAAAAAATATTCCACCGATGAAACATACAGCTTTCCTCTGGTTCTTTAATGCTTCCTCACTGCCATTATCATGACCTTAATCCTACCTTACAAATCTGGCCAGACCAGAGCATGTACATGGGTACAGATAAGAGCTGGAGACACATCGAATCCAGGACAGATACACTCCTCGGGACCAATAATGAGAGAGTAGCCATACCAGGAGGGTAAAGTTTTCCCTACCAAGCTGGGAAAACTAACTAATCTCCTAGTTGCACTGCAAGGAACTCAATCCTTTATGGGATTTTTCAAGCTAGTCCATGAATAGTTAGAGCCCCAATAGTATAGTGGACTGGTACCATACTGTGTTAGACCAGGTTGACTAGAGAAACAAATCCAATGACACTCATATGTGTGAAAGACAGAGCTTTATATCAAAGAACAATTGCATATTGAGAAAACATTCCAGTCCAGTCCAGTTCAAGTCCATAAGTCCAATATTAGCCCATATGTTAGACACTAGTCCATAAATTCCTCTTTAGACTTATGCAGCACATGCAATGATGCCTAATGCAGGAAGACCACAAGCCTGGTGTGCGCCTCCATGTGGTTCCTCCAGCTCCAGGGCTCTGGCTGCCATCAGCATAGCTTCATGTGGTTTGTCAACAGAATGTGAAGCAGAAAGAGAGTACGTGTCCTCCTCTAGGAAGGAAGACAGGAGTTCCCAGAATCCTTAGGTGAAGGCCATGCCCACACAGAGGTATCATTGGCT